TGTACATGTACCATTTTTCACATGGGAAATTAAATTGGTAGAATAAATTTCTAGAAGTGGATTTACAAGGTTAAAGTCTATGAGCATTTGTAATTTGTTACATACTGCTCAATTTTATAATTAGTATTTTAAATGTCTTCTTTTTAATACTTTCATCTGAGAATTAGCATTTATCTTATTCTTTTCCAAAAAAGGATGAAAAGTGGCTTACCTTAAAATTATAATATGTGTGTTGAAGTTATGTTAGTTCTCATCGGCCTGTTGTATTGAGTTTCTTCTTTCCTTTAGTATCAGATCTGCATCTTCCTTCCCTTATCAGCCCTCTCCACACCCCTGGCAGTTTTATCTAGGCATGTGATTACTCAGGTAGAGATGACATGTCTCAGTTTTCCTGTGTGGCTAAGTCGTGACCATGTGACTAAGTGTGAGTAAAAGTGGTACATGCAACTTCTGGGTTGTCTTCTTGTAACAAAGCCACTTGTCTGAGACTTTCTTTCTCCTTATGTGGGTTGAAATGGGGATGTAGCACTAACCCAGCTTAAACCAGGCAGGTGAGGATAACTACCTAGGGGTGGTGGAACAAGAGATGGAAGAAACCTGGACCTCTGAATGACCTTAGGGAGCAGAGTGGCCTGCCAGCTTGTCCTGCTTTCTTCTGGGCTGTAAGATGAGAGAGCATGCATGTAATACTAATCTTATTTTAGCTGATGTATGTTTGATCTTTTTGAGAGAGCCTAGACTGTACCCTAACTGATACAGAATGTAATGTAGACATAGACGAGAAAGAATAGATAAAGAGAAAACTGGAGTTATAGAAATGTGTATTTTAGGTCTTTGGCTGTTGCTGACTTAGTTGGAGTTGGGTAAATCAGTGTATTAGCAGTAGGAAAAGGAAAGTACTTTGAGCATATTGATCTGTCTGGATGATTGGGTCGATAAAGATAATTTGGTGGCCTTACAGGCCACCAGATTATAATTCTACCACTGTTGAAATTCATAAAATACTTCCTGTGTTTATTCATTTTCAATCATGCTAGTTTGTGTATCTGTTTTATTTTTCCTCAATACTGACTAGCTATAGTGCCTATTCATTTTATTATAGTTTTCTATATTATAGTTTTCTGAAACAGAGCAGGATATGACTATTTTCCCATGTTCCGATGGTTGTATAAGGCAGTAGTTGTATTTGCTTAGCATTTTGCCTTCCACTAAGTGCTTCTCTTTGTCAGTTAAGATCAGTTTCAGCCGTAAATAACTGAAAACCCCAAATAATAGTGATTGGGAAAAAAAGACTAAGTTATTTCTCTCCTGTGGGAAAGTCTTAAGTAGGGAGTTCAGGGTTCCACATGGTGTGTACTGATCTACAGTATATAATAGTTTCAGGCTCTTCCTGTCATGCTCTTTTTGTTTTTCCTGCTGTTATGGTCTCAAATTTATGGTCGGAGATGGCAGCATCTGTGTACTAGGCAGCAAGACAGAGGAAGGAATGAGTATGAGAGCAAAAGGCGCCTATGCGCTATCCTTTATGGATAATTTCTTGAAGTTGTCACAACACTTATGCATGTATCCCATTTACCAAAATTTAAGTCACATGGCCAGCTAGCAGCTGAAGAGGCCAGAAAATGTATTGATTATATTTTGTAGCCACCTGTCTAGTTAAAATTCCTTTACCATGGAAGAAATGGGGAGCTGTAATAGTTTGAAATGGAGAACAAAATTCTATGAAATGGATAGACATTTTGTGGATGGAGTGGAGAATATATATATATTTTTCTTCATCAGACTCTTTATTTCTTGGGTGAGGATTTATTTGAAAACCAATTTAAAATTGCATTAGTCATTTATGGCTGCATAACAAATCTCCCCAAACTCAGTGGCTTAAAACTTTTATTATTTCACAGTTTCTGTGGGTTAGGAATGCAGGCGTGGCTTAGCTGGGTTGTTTGGCTCTGGGTCTCTCACAGGCTGCAGTCATCTCAAGCCTTGACTAGAATGGATCTGCTTCCTCGCTCATTCAGTTCCTTGTAGGTTAATGGACTGAAGCATCAAGCATCATGACCTGTTGGTCAGAGGCCTCTTTTGTTTCTTTGACACATGGTTTCTCCAAAGAGCATCTCACAACATGGCAGCTTGCTTCATTAGAGCAAGCAAGTGAGAAGGCAAGAGAGAACATGCTAGCAGGATTGAAAGTTAGAATTTTTATAACCTAATCATGGAAGTAACATCTCATCACTGAGATGTTAATATTTAAAAATAAATATTAATTGTTATCCCATTATCAACAGGGAATTATTTTAATCAATTACAGAGAACTATGC